AAAAAAAAAAAAAAAGATAGCGACTCGAATGGCAGTGTTCGACTATAGGATAACTGATTTGTTCGTGACGAAGAGTTCTGAATTAGTTGAAAGTTTTACATAGAAAGCGATTATTATCGTCATGTATAATTTGAGAACAGTATATAGATCGCGAAATTGCACATTATGACGCATATAGACCGGATGTGCACTATGAACAAATCATCGCTGAATATAACGGGTAGTACACAAGTAAGTACATGGAATATTTCACAAACTATTTAATGTTTACTGGTATTCTAGTCGATCCTTACTTATTATTATTATATAATTCTTATTTATTATAGTAGACTGTTTGACACAAATTATAAATTTTTTTTATATATTCAGTTTAATGATATTTTTTCTAAAATATGTTATAATAATATTAAAAAGATACACACACAAGAGTTATATATTTTCCTTTATTCAGCTCAATCTCTCCCTATAAATTATGAACAGAAAGATCGATATCTTATAATGTGTGTTTAGAGAGTTATAATAAAAATTTTAGGGAATTAAAACTTTATATATAATTTATGCGATATTTATAGAATATTAGAATTATAGGATCTTTTATATGTAATTTATAAGATTTATAAAATGTATAAAATACACATTTATTATATGTGTATATAACTTTCCAACACATAACATTATAACTATGTATGTTTTATAGCATCCATAAATTAGAAAAATAATTGTTTTAATAAACAAAAAAATATTAATTTCTATAAATTTGATAAGTTACAAATAAATATATGTATCCATAAATTTTATGTATATTCGATTTAAATAATTTCTATAGGATTTATCTTAAAGAAGTGAAAAGATAAATTTTCCAATCCCTTACTCTTGTTATTATTAGCATCGATCTTTTTATTTAAAATCATTAATTTTTTTTCGCGCGCCCTTGTCTCGAAAAAGCATCATAAAAAAATTAATCTATATTCCATTCAAAATCTTGTCTGCAAAAACATCCGTGATACTTGGGCGGGAACCGTTAAATGAAGATGAATGCGAAATCAAACGATCGGTGTATTTATTTCTCACATATTTGAAAAGCGGACACGTATGACCTGCCAATATGAGAAGGAGGGAGGGAGAGAGGGAGAGGGTGAAAGAGGGAGCAAGAGGGAGCGAGAGGGAGAGGGGGGAGGGGGAGAGAGAGAGAGAGAGAGAGAGCGCGAGCGAGCGAGCAAGGGTAAATATACCGAAAAGGGGACCCAGCCCCAATGACCTTGACCTTGACATATGTTGTCAAGGTCAATGTTCTGAGTATCCTCCAAAAAGTTTTAAGCGTCGCTCGTTGTTTATTAAAAAGTTATTAACAAAAAAAGTATACTAAATAAAATTAATAGTAATTAGTAATTTGGTAAATGTTTACCTTTACACACCTCATCCCAAATGACTTCCTGTTGATCTTGACGTTGACCTTGAGCTCTAAGGAGATTAAGGTCATTGACCTTTCCTGTCGCTCAGTTAGTAAAAAAAAGTTCTGACTACTTAAACAAGGTTTATAATTATACGATTTCACACGAATTTGCAACTTTCTGCGCTTCTGAGCAAAGTGAGGTCCACCTCATAATTGTTATGTGGATGGGAAAGTGTATGCGTGGACGCAGTGGGTTTCGCCCCCCTACGGAGGGGCTCCATTTCCGGAAGATATAACTTAACCCAAACCTATTTCTTATTTAAAACTATAACTTGCTTCGCGCAGGTTACTAACCGAGCGACGGAAAAGGTCAATGACCTTAACCTCCTTATTTTTTCGCGCGAAGCAAGGTCTAGTTTTAAATCAGAAATAGGTTCCAGTTAGGTTATATCTTCCGGAAGTGGAGCCCCTCCGTAAGGGGGCGGAACCCACTGTGTCCGCATACACTTTACAACGCGAAACGAGGTTCACTCCACAATTGTTGTGTGGATGGGAAAGTGTATGCGTGGACGCAGTGGGTTTCGCCCCCCTACGGAGGGGCTCTATTTCCGGAAGATATAACTTAACCCAAACCTATTTCTGATTTAAAACTAGACCTTGCTTCGCGCGAAAAAATAAGGAGGTTAAGATCATTGACCTTTCCCATCGCTCGGTTAGTAACCTGCGCGAAGCAAGTTGTAGTTTTAAATCAGAAATAGGTTTGGGTTAAGTTATATCTTCCGGAAATAGAGCCCCTCCGTAGGGGGGCGAAACCCACTGCGTCCACGCATACACTTTCCCATCCACATAACAATTATGGGGTGGACCTCACTTTGCTCAGAAGCGCAGAAAGTTGCAAATTCGTGTGAAATCGTATAATTATAAACCTTGTTTAAGTAGTCAGAACTTTTTTTTACTAACTGAGCGACAGGAAAGGTCAATGACCTTAATCTCCTTAGAGCTCAAGGTCAACGTCAAGATCAACAGGAAGTCATTTGGTGGGTTCCGCCCCTCCCTACGGGGGGGGGGGCTCTACTTCTAAAAGATATAACCTAACTCAAACCTTTCAGTTTCAAAAATAAAGTTGGGTTGGGTTAAGTTAGAATTTTTTCGGGGTTGGGGTGCGGGGGGTTGGGCGGAGCAGACCCGTTCTGAGTAGACCCAGTGAGCCCGCAATTTCAGACACTCTCTCCAACAACGCCGTAAAAAATCTTTAAAGAATAAAATGCGGAATTTTTATTCAAAAGATTATACTTTTGATAAGCGCACCGATGTTTTTTTTTGAAATAATGAGCAGATTATATCTTCAATAAATAATTAATTCAACATAGTAATATTTTATTTTTGAACACTCTATATAATAACTTGCATGTTTATTTAAGTGTATATGTGTACTGTGGGTAAGACTATTTCTATAAACTAACTCCAATATCAAGTTTTTCATTGTCAGACTACGTACAAACCTTGATTTTTACAAATCTTTGTTTGTTAATAACTTTTTAATGAGCAACGAGCGACGGCTAAAATCTTTGGGTATTACTCAGGACGATAACCTTGACAACATATGTTAAGGTCAAGGTCATTGGGGCTGGGTCCTCTTTTCGGTATATTTATCAAGTATATTTAAAGTTATTTGGATTCTGAATCATCGTTTAATGCGACGCGATTAAAATGATAAAAATCCGTGATTCTTAAAGGTGAAAAATTATGCATAAAATCTCCCATCGGTGTTCAGCCTCGCTAGTGGAAGGTAAATCATTTATCGTTAACCCGTTAGTCAAGAAGATTACTTTATAATTATTAGCTGTTGGTCCAATTAGCATTAAAAAAGAATATCCTGTTTGATCTATATATATTATAGCCTAGAAAGATCAAGTAGAGACAGAACGACTATCGCTATTTTCCATGTCTCAAAATTGTTTAGTGAGTTTAATTGAATTTTAATAACTAGGTGCGGATCTTCTACATAATCGCGAGTTCTGCGTATATCCGATCGTTCTAATTTTGTAAATGTTAATTCTTTGATATAGAGTAATATAATCATGTGTTTCTGTTTGTACAAAATTGTTGGCGAGAGAGTTAAGTTTCTAAAAATATTTGAGTAAAAAATTAAATTCTATTAAAATAGTTACATTATAATCTATAAAAATGTAATTTTAAAAGTTGTGAATATGTGCATATATATGTATCTATGTGTATGTCTCTTTTATAAAAGTGATATTTTGTTGCAGGAAAAGGTTCCTTCACAAACTAGATGATGTTCGTTAAACTCTGCAGACAAACTCCAAACGGTAAGAGCTCCAAAAAATCTTATTTATATATTTTTACGTTTAGTGCAATGCAATTATCTTGAATATTTTATGAGCAAGGATTGTATTTGCGCTAGTTTATGCGAATTTTTTTATTTCGGTGCAACATCATATCTAATTATATCTTATAAATACGGTCAGATCACTACATAAGTTTTGCGTAACAACTTTATTTATTAAAAATTGTTCAAAATAATTTCCGTTACAATCAATATACTTGTTGATTCGAATATAAATCAATTATTATTTATTAAGGATTGTTTTATATTGTGAGAGATACTTTAAAATGATACTTACCTTAAATTCCTAAGATTTATAGAACTAGCGTATTGCAAGACTTATCTTATTGTTATTGTGAGACATCCGTATATGTTATATACAGGGTGAGTCATTTTAATCAATACACGCAAATATCTCGTAAAGTAAGCAAGATGGAAAAAAAT